AATAGAACATAATATCCTCCTCACAGGTTTCCACCAGCAAGGCTACAATCTTACCATCACGTGTATAAACATGTAAAAAGCCTTACTTTCAACATTAACAAATTTCAAATTTATTTGGCTTACTGTTAAAAATCACATAGAGATTAGACTTTTCTCAATAAATCTGCAAAATAAAGCTAAATGTAAAGAACTTTGGGTACAATGTGTGACATCTGTATCTGAGAGCTGCCTCAGTTTCAAAGCATCTGTAAATTATATCAGATCATTTGAAAAGTAGCAAAAATTTCCATTTAAGACCTGCTTCCAATAAGTGTTCCTTACAAAGACAGAATACCAATGTAATAACTAAAAAGCAGTGCCTAGTATTTTTGTGAATACAATAAACTGTTCATCTGTGACACAGGACTCGACATGGAATTACAATAGTAATTCCAGTAAAGCAGCAGGAATGTTTGTATTTCTCCATCTGACATTAAAAGCAGCATGCTTTATGTAGGCCTCATTTGTAAACCTCCATGAATTTAATCAAAGACACCAGAGTTTTTCCAAAAAAAGAGCAAACACATTATGAACTACATAGCTTTATTTCCCTGTGAACGAAAAAGAAGGAAAGAGAACGACAGAAAAATCAGTAAATACAAGACTTTCATTTAATTAGAAGGACCTCAAAATAAGTCAAAACATATAAAACAACAAAGCCACTATCCTGGAGGATATACTGTCTAGTACATCACAGTGACTCTGGCTCAAATCCACAGATCTTTACATTCTTTTATGACTCAGTTTTTTGCATGATCTTAGACATAAAATATGCAAATTAGCCCTGTGATATTTTTTTCTTTGGCAAGAAATTATAAAATACCAATTCAAATATTTTTTTACAGTTTTTATTTGTGTTTTCATAAAATAAGTGGGTAATGGAACTTTTATAACATGTAAGATTTTCCTGGATTGTTTGAAATCAGAGGAACTATGTTTTAAGCAGTGGTACTTCTCTGGTTGCTTCTGTTCCTGAGTATTTAAATAAGGACTGAAATATCAATAGCTTAAAAGTAAAATAAAAATGTCAAAGCTCTATATTTTTCCTTTTTTTTTTTTTTTTTTTTTTACAGTTTAGGAATATCTGGCTTTTTTCATGTATAAAGGGAAAATCAGAAGACTTCAAGTTCTGACAAATAGAAGATAAAAGCAAGTTGAATAAAGCTAATCAAAAGGTAAAAAGATAGGACCTACTTCTTTTTTAATAAATTAATCTCATTTAACTCCAAAAACACTATGTAGTAGAAAAAACAGTTTTCAGGTTAAATAGACAAAAAAAATATTAAATACCTGGTAAAAAATGTATTCAACTACTATAGGTTTTACCCTACCGAAATAAATCAAGTTCTTTCACATATTTAAATAAAAAGTTAAGTTCTTTAACTGTTAATCAGAACTATCTGTAAGAAAACAAAGTATGTTTTATTGAATAATCCTTAAATCTACAAACAATGAATTTATTGATATTAATATATACCAAACATTTCTGAAAGCAAATATTGTCTTTTTAATATGTGACAAGTACTGCACTTTCATCAGATATGAGGACTGCCTACAATAATAATAACAATTAAATAATGCACATAATTGCCTGGTTCAAGGCTGTATTTTATTTAATATATTGCACTTTTGTGCCTGTGATTATGAGAGAAATTTTCCTGGACTTTCTGGCATATGCAGACTCCTTTTCTTTATTTTTATGATCATGTCAGTTACTGGTATATGTATATCATGCTGTCTCTAAAGATATTAATGCAGGGAGAAATAAATTTTGTAGAAAATACTTTTACTGATTTGATCTGCTTAAAATATTTTATTCAGAAAAATATATTTTATAATAAAGAAGGCTTGATACTGACTTAAAAGAAAAGTTCAAGGGGCATTTCATTAATGTGTGGAAGAAACTCTTGGAATTCAGGAATAATTCTGCAGGAAACTGGTGTTAGAATATCATCTTATGTTACTGTCTCTTAACTCTATGAAGAGCAATACACAGATGAAAAAATGTTAATCTGAGACTTTTCAGAAACACTTATGCCAGTATTTAAATTTTATGAATTGGTCCTCTGGAGATGCTAATGATTTCTCATCATCTTGAACAGTTGAACTATTTTGTTTTCAGTAACAAAGCTCAAGCTGTAACAATTATTATCTGGCATGGGCAGAGGGAGTCTGTTTCCCTGATTAATTATTATTCAAATATTTATGTATTTCCTTCATAATTTCTTTATTCAATATACAGGTTAGATTTCTCTAGGAAATTTTAATGAACAGCTCTTTAAAATGGGTATATGCTCTAAACAAGCAGTAAAACCTCATAGCAATCTCTCCATCTGAATCTATCTCATTACCTTCTTACAGGGAAAAAGAAAGAAAAAAAAGTCAAGATGAGAGACTAAGTAGAGGACTTGATAATATAAATTTTGTGATGAAATTGTGGTGGCAGTTACATGTACTACATAATCTTGGAATGAATCTTTAGCAGTTATTTTGCCTTTAAAGCTATGTTAATTTATAGATTTCAATGTGCTATAAATGATAAGGGGATGTTGAAGAAGAAATTTCTATAATATGCAATCATACCCTGTGTGTACATTTTAATATATTTTAGATGACAACCTTTTTTAATAGTCCTGATCTCTTTACCTTTGTAATTCTACAGCTCAGAACTCTGTCCTCTCCTCCATGTTATGTTTTTTCTTCTCCTCCATTTTATGCTGGCTTTTCTTAGTTATCATATATATTTGACAACCATACCAAAAAAAAGAGAGAAAGCCTTATTTTGTCAGCCCACCTGCCTGTCACCACCCTTTTCTTGTTTCTGAAAAAAAAGCCAAAAAAATAATAAACAAAAAACAAACAAAAAACCCAAAAAACCAAAAATACCCCAAAACCAGCCTGGGATTTCTGTCTGCCAGACTCTGAAGCTTGGAGTTCAGTGGTATTAATTTTTATGTATCATACCAGAGGTAGTATTTCAAATCATATTCCAAAACATTTCATGTTCGTTCTTCACAGTATCATGAGGCCTAATATTGTACACAAGAGTTAGAACTGAGAGCCTGATCCTGCAGGCAGTATGATTTTTCTCTTTACTTTAATATGGGCACAATTAAGACCTAGGTATACAAATGTGTTTTTTTATAACACAGTAGCCAGACAGCCCACATGAGGCAGGAAACTGGAGGCAGAATCTTTTGACAGCCTGCATGCATACTGAAGGAGATGCATGCACTGGCTGAGCTTTGCAGAAAATATTAATTAATTAATATCGCAAAAATATTAAAATCACAAAAAATGAAAAAGAAAAGAAGTTGAGGGATGATCTCAAATGTAGCATGATTCAAATAAATATAAAAGGTGTTGTGGTGAGATATGATAAAGTCTAATCTTACCATCTGTACTAGAACGAAGCTGGAATGGCTTCCAAAGCTGGGCCAAGCTTTTAGATGGTGGATTGTAATTAGCGAGAGTGATGGATACAAAATTCCAAACAGCTTTTTGATTAAATCAGCTTCCAGTCAATTACCACAAAAGTTCAGAAGAAATTAAATTTTTTGTTCTTTTTGACATTGTATAGACATTATTTTAAAATAATGAATCTGGCAAAGGCCTTTAGATTTCACTCATATTTTTTAGGCTGAGTAGCTTTCAGCATTGCATTTCCCTTTAAGAAATGTTCAGCAGAAATGTTTGTTCAATAAAGAATGCCAAGTAACACAGTAACGTTCTTGACCATTCAGAATAGACACACACAAAGAAAAAACATATATCTAAAATATTTTCTGTCCATGAAATCCAAAGGTTGCATACATCATGACTCATGTAACACACTAAGGCCCTTACCTATTTTTATTACATCAGTCCTAATTTGGTCCTTCGCTGAGATATAGCCACACAATATTTCATTGTTTACTTTTAAGTTACTTAAGTAAACTTTAGTATTTTTGAGGATTATGGCAATGTTTCAATACTTAAAGAATAAAATGCTACCATAAGAGGTTAATACCTCATGAAGGATTTATTAGATTTTCATAGATATGTTTTCAGACATCAGTTGTACACCCCTCCTCAATCATCATTATAGGCTTCTTTGTCTATCTGTAACTATTTTTTGTACGTCAAAATGTACAAAGCCTTTTGCCAAAAGACAACAGCAATCCTGGTTAGACAATTACTTTAGGAAAAAATAAATTAGTTTAGTAGTAAGTTCACATTTCAGCTGGCCATAACCACAGATAAAAAACGTGGTTTGATACACAAATCTATAACCATCGGGAGATGTGGGGAATATCTGATGATACACATAGACGTTCGAGAAGCAAAATAACATTCTTTACTGAAAGAGTAGTTAAGCATTTGAACAGGCTCCCCAGGGAGGTGACGGAGTCACCATCCCTGGTAATGTGAAAAAACCCGAGTAGATTGTGGCACTTTGTGGTATGGTTGAGTGGGCATGGTGGTATCCAGACGAGGGTTGGAGCTGATTGCTTTGAACGTCTTGTCCAACCTCAGCGGTCCTACGATTCCTTCTAAGGGCTAAGGCTCTGTTCCTGAGGATGGGATGGCCGGCAACACATTTTTGGGCTGTAAAGCTTCACACCAACACACGCACGTTACAACACGTGTTGTATTGAGATACAAGCGCTTTAGGGATTTCATGAGATACGAGCACTTTTAAGATTCATTAAGAGCTAATTACACCCTCAAACATGCCCTTGCGGCTCTTCTCCCACGAAAACAGCATCACCTCCCAGGCCAAACCCCGAGGAGCGAGGGGCGACACCCTGGACACGCGCGGAGAGCGGCGGGAGGCGCGGACCCCGCGGGGCTCCGCGCCCGCGCTCCGGCGCCTCCTGCCCCGCCCGCCGCGCCCGCCCCGCGCCGCCGGCCCCGCCTCGCGCCCGCGATCAGCTGCGCGCGCGTCACGTGGGCGCGTGTCGAAGGTCACGGCGCCCACAATGGAGCTGTCGCCGTACGCGCAGGGCGGGTGGCGGCTGCTGGGCGACCCCCGCCGCTTCCCCCGCCGCCCCTTCGCCGCCCTCCTCCGCGCCGCCTTCCGCAGCCTCCTGGATCACCCGCAGGCCGGGTTGGGTAAGGCGTGGCGCTGGGGGGGGGAGGTGCGGGCCGCGCCGCTCCGCGGAGCGCGCAGGCGGGCGCGGGGCTCCGTCCGCCCCCGCGTACGTTTCCGCGTGTCCGCGCTGCGGCGGCCGCTGCCCGCGCATACGGGCGGGGCGGCTCCTGCCCGCGGACGGCTCCAGGGTGCCGCTGCGCGGGTGTCATCGCTAATGCGCGACCGCTTCATTAAAGCTCCGACCTGTCCCGAATAGCGGGGGCGGGAGGGGTCCCCCCGCGCGTTCGTGTCCGCGGGGTGCGGTACGCTGAGCAGGCGGTGTGCCCGCTCCGCTGCGACCCTGCGGGGGCCTTCCCGCGTGGGCACGTTCTGCGGCCACCCCGGCACGAGGGTGCGCGGCCGTCCAATTAATTTTGTGGTGTTAATGACTCCGCCGCCGCCTTCACGGACGGTGGGAGCCGCCGGTGCCGGGCGGGGGCGGCGGGCGGTCCCGGTGCCCCTCCCGGCCGGTGGCCCCAGCCCCGCTTCTCGCCATTAGGCTGCCGAAGATCGCGGACGGGGCTCGCAGAGGAAATTGAGGTTTTCCTTCTTTCTTACTTCTTTTTTGTTTGTTTGTTTTCCTTTTCTTTCTTTCTTTCTTTCTTTTTTTTTTCTTTTTTTTTCTTTTTTTTTTCTTTTTAATGGGAAGGAGATGTAAAGGCGGCGGGCGCTCAGCGCCGCACGGCCCCGCCTGGTACGGCTTGCCCCAGCCAGTGCTTCAGCCCCTCGCCGTCTCCTCCGCCTCCTCATACCTTGCCTACTTGCTCTGCCCTTTCACTCTGAAACACCAAATGTGTTTCATTTTAAAGTTTTTGTGGGAAAGGTAGCGTTCAAAGGGCGAGCAGCAGTCTTTAGTACCGTGTGCTGGGGTTTGGCAAATAAGTGTCATCAGTAATTCATTTATTTTAGACGATCCAGACCTGAAAGATATTGACCCTACGGTATTAAAGCATTGCCATGCTGCGGCTGCAACGTGTATTCTGGAGGCAGGGAAGCAGAAAGCTGACATATCTGCTATAAGGTACTCGTACTTGGAAGTTACACCAGTTTTCTAGCGGCTGTTACTTAAAAGTGTACTGTTGAGTTAATGTTAACAGAAAACTAATAAATTCTTTTTTCCCATAGCACATGCCTGGAAGACTGCAAACTGGATAAAGAGAGAATAGAACAATTTTGCACCGAATATCAGGTTTTTAAACTAATTTTTAACATATTAATTTTTCTCATTTCATAGGAATTTATTGAACCTAGCAAATATATTTCTTTCTGTCACTCCAGAAAAACAAGGATGCATTGGAAATCCTATTGGGAAGGTAGGTCAATCACTCAGCAGAGACATGATTTCTCTTACAATTAGTTTTAAAGTGTCCTGAAAAACACTTCTGCATACTTTAGATGATTAAAGTAAGTCATATTGTTCCATTAAAAAATAAAGTGCATTTTTAACAAACTCTAGAAAACAGCTGTTGTAACTTTTCTTCATTTGGAATTCTACTTTGAAATAACCTGTTAGAGCTTCCCAAGAAGCATTACCAAGATCATGAAAAAGTTCTTTATTGATGGACAGCTTGAGAAAATGACCTTTTCTCTTAGCATAGTTGTGTCTTTCAGCATAGGCAGATCTCCTCTGCATATAACTGATGTGTCTTGGCGCTTGGAATATCAGATCAAGGTAATTTTAACAGATCATGGTGTTTCTGTAGTCTGTTTTAATGCTGAGACCTGGCTTTTTTATATGTTTTTTGTTTTTAATTTAGAACAATCAACTTCATAAAACTTATCAGCCTTCCTATTTGGTGACCTTAAACGTAGAGGTACTGTACTCCCAGCACCCTCAAAGGAAAAAATGCAATTTCATTATATTTTTAAAAATAAAATAGACATTGCTGTTTCTTTGCTTTTTTCCCCCTTCAGAACAGTGATTCAGGATCACACCCAGATGTTAGTTTTAGTTGTACGATGGAGCAATTACAGGTACTTGTTTCCTTCATCATTCTGTGCTTAGCCCCAATTGTGGATAACATCTTGCCAAACAAAATGAAATCATATACACTGTTACTTAAGAAAAAAAAAATCCAGTACTGGGGGGAGGGGTAAGAAAATTTTCCATAAAAGTTTTCCAAGCGTATTTTTACTGTCTTTTCAAATAAAGTTGCAAAGTAACTGAATTTAGTTTCATGGGGAGTGTTTTACATACGTGCATAAATATTTTGTCTGTTTTCATAACTGTAATCCATATGTATATGTGGGAGGAAACTCTTCATTTTCTGAAACTCTGATTTCCCGTGCTTTAGAGAAATGATTAAAGAAGCTGGTTCAGTGATTTAAATGTGTCATGATTAAAAATAGAGAAGGAACTGAAGGCTCTTCAGTGGTGTAAATGACATGTAAGAAATGTCCTGAAACAAACGTTAATCTTTGTTTAGCGATTTAAATGTGTAACTGAACAATAGAGGTATTGTAATGCTTGGAAGTGACCAAACTGTGGAGGATCAGGAAGAGGGTTTGGTGGGAGAGGAAAAGCAAGATATTAAAACTGAAGTTTTACACCTTCTCTTGTTAAATGTGTCTCAAAAGTTGTCCTTTTGTCAGTAATGAGTGTTCCTAGTCAGTTTGCTGGCATAGTGAAATCTGATGTGCTTTGGCTGAAGAATGGTCCTGCTACAAAATTGCACTCAAAATATTTTCAGTGTTTTAGAAGTCCATCTTGTACTTCAAAGCCTGAAGCAAATGTCAGCATTAGCCATTGTGGCAATACCAATAAAATCTACGTGTTAACAGTAAAGATCTATTTTAGGAGAAAATACATTTTAAAAAGTATTTTCCTTCAGTTCCCAGTTTTCTGACTACATTGTAAAATACAGAGGTATTTAATTATTTGCTTGCATTGTTCATCAGTTGCAACACTTCTTTGTGCTACAAGGTGCTAGTTTCACTTGCGCCTCTGTATAAAAAAATCACTCTGTTCTACTAGCTGACCTTTTAAAAACATGCTTATTCTAAGACTCTATTTCATCTCATAGGATTTAGTGGGAAAGCTAAAAGATGCTGCAAAAAGTCTAGAACGAGCGACTCAGATGTGATTGAAGGAAGGTGTCAGCCTGCTGAAGCACTTTCCTTCCTAAGTGTCTCCTAAATGACAAATGTCTTTCATCTCTTGATGCAAACTGGGGGTTTTTTTAGTCCTTGGATGTAAATTAAGCAAAGCAACTTTTTTACGTTTGCACTGGGTATTCCTTGCTCATGTAATTTTTTTTTTATTAAGTCCCGTTAAATATCTGTTGAACTGTCACGTCATCAAAGTGTACCTTCTATCTTATTTTGTATATTTTTACAACTGCCACTGCTAATTTTTCTCTCTGATCTAATAAAAGTTTATTCGCGCCTATTGTGCTCTTTCTGTGGATGAATTAGCTGTACCTAAAAGTAAGATGCTAAACCTTAGATCAGCTCGGTGAGGCAAAAGCGCCTTCTTCCCGTGCCGCGGCTACGGCGCGTTTGCTAAATCGCCCGCCGCGCTTTGTCATTTCCAGCTGATCTTAACATCTCTCCTACCATGAAAAGTTGGACCCCGGCGCGGGGGAGCAAGAAAGGATTCGGTTTAATCTTGCGGACCCGGGGCGCCTCACGAAAAGCCGGCAGGTTCCACGGAGCGGAGCCGGGTGGCGGCTCCGGCTCGACGGCGCGGCTGCTGCTAGCATCTCCCGCTCGCCTCGGGCCGCGCCCGGCTCCGCCGTTCTCCGTGGGGCCGCTCGCTCCGCCGGCAGGTGCGGAGGGGCTCCGAGTCGCGGTCCATCCGCACCTGCCGGCGAGGGAGAGCGGCCCCGCGGAGGATGCGCGGCGGCGGCCGGTCTCTCGCCGCGGAGCAGGGCTTTTTCCTCTCCGCTCCTCCGCGCCCCAGCGGCGGGCGGCGTCTTATCCTCGCCGGAGGCGAGCACCGCGAGGGTTTCCCCGGTTCTCTCCCTCCCGCTCCGGCGGCCGTCCGTCCCGCCCGCGGGGTGTGGGGACACCGCGGGTCCCCGCGCCACCGGCTCCTGCCGCCGCTCGGGGCGGAAAAGCTTCCGCGCGGCCCTCGAGGGGACGCGTCGCCTCGACGCCGGCGGCCCCGGGCGGGCGCGGCGGGGCGAGGGGCGCGCGGCAGCGCGCACGCGGTGGCGGAGGCGCGAGGCCGCGGAGCCCCCCGGGGGTCCCTACGCGGCGGGACGGGGCGGCCGGGGAGGGGAGCGCGCAACAAGTGCGCGGAGGGAGGCGAGGGCCGCGGGGCCAGGGTGACGGGCGGCGTGTGGGGCCGGCGGGCGTGCGGGCTGTGGGGCTGCGGCGCGGGGAGGATGGAGAGGGCAGCGCCGAGCAGGGCGGGGGCCGCGGGGCGAGAGCGGGGAGCGCAGCGGCTGAAGGGGAGCCGCGGCGCGGGCGGAGGGAGCGCGGAGAAGGA